AACTTAAATTATGTTCAATGTGTACCAAACCTCTGCTAGTCTTAGATTTCGTATTTCTTCTTTCAAGGATTTGTGAGTTTCCTCAGGAGACTATAACAGGTATAATTTTGCTAAGCAAAAATCTGAATCATAAGTGTGAGATACAGCTGCAAGTCTGGTCTATGAGACAGTTTAAGTAAGTCAAAGAACATTTATTGAGCACCTACTGTGTGCTAGGCACTGGTGGGTGCAAGGGATATAACAGTGAATAAGGCAGTCCAAACTTCTGCTCTTAGGAAGGTTATTTCTAGTGGAAGCGCAGGCTATGATTTAACAGGTGAACAAATAAATTGCAGTAAAGACAGGAAAGGGAATATATAGTATGTTATACTGGAGAAGTAGAGAACCTACTCACAGAGACAGGGAACACCTTTGTGGAAAATGTGATAGTGTAGCTCTAAAAGGCAAGAATGAGTTCACAGTTTGAAGAATTAGGCACAGAACATTCTCACCAAAGGAGTCATAGATTCAGAGGTCTGAGGGAAGAAATAACTTGATCCTTTATTTGGCCAGACAGAAACAGGGTAATTAGATTTTCATGAGATGGGCAAAGTAGACAGGCCAGGCCTGAGCAGGGGACCTTATTGGTAGTAAGATAGTGTTTAAGATTTTACTGACAAAGTGTAATTTGGTATAGATTTGGGCGTGTGGTCTGTCATGGGATACCCAGCAGGCTTTGCTCTTTATTTCTATTATGTGTTACTCAAAATGATGTGAAATTTACTTCTGGAATTTTCCATTTAATATTTTCAGACTGTGGTTGACCGTGGGTACCTGAAACCTTAGAAAGTGAAGCCGCGGGTAAGGGGAGATTACTATGTGTTCTCCTTAGCTCCATGTGCTTTGGAGCTTAAATTAGAGCTGTTTTTAGCAGTACCGGAAAAACCAGTGCTTGAAAATAGCAAGCCTTGTTATTGCCTCCCTCTGTGGTCACTGGCTTGGCATGTAGTGGGTGGCTTCCTTCCCATTCCCATTTAAATTTTAGGTTAGGTCAGTGCTCATCAGCACAGAAGGATAATTTAAAGGGGAATTATTGTTTTTTCTTTTGAAATTGACACCATAATGTTATTTTTATGCTTAGTCTAAGTGACACAAAATTGGCACTGTGTGGCAATAACAAAATTATTTTCAGGATGTTCTGAAAAAGTGGCTGCAAAGTTTAAAGGTATTGTATGTTTAGCACAGAAGTAAACAATGCAGACAAATGTGAAGTTAAGATTATTCCAGGGACATTAAGGAAATAAGATATACAAACTGATGTTTACTCCCAGGGAAGGAAGGGATGGAAGAAGTTGAAAGTGATGAATTTTGATCTTGTGGGATCTCAGCATTTAGGAATACAGTGTTCAGGATGGCCCAACCCCATTTAATTTATTGTATAGTTTAGGTCTTCTGTAACCTTGCTGATTTTCTGTCTAGTTCTATCAGAGTAGTATATTAAAATCTCCATTTGTCATTGTTGAAATGTCTACTTTTTCTTTCAATTCAGTAAGCTTTTTGTTTTATGTAATTCAGAGCTCTTGTTAGGTGTGTATATATTTATGATTGTGATATCTTTCTAAAGTGTTACCCATTTTACCATTAAGAGACTAATATTCCTCTTTGTCTCTTATCGTATTTCCTGTCTTAATGGCTATTTTTTCTGATATGAATATATCTCTACCTCTCTTAGAGTTATTACTTGCATAGTGTATTTTTTTCCATCCTTTTACTTTCAACCTATTTTGCCTTTGAATTTAAAGTGTGTTTCTTGTAGGTAGAATATTGTTTTTTATGTAGTCTAACATCCTCCCTCATTTGATTGGGCTGTTTGGTCTGTTTACATTTAATGTAATTATTGATGTGGTTGTATTTACATCAGTCATTTTGCCATGTGTATTCTGCATTTCCTTTCTGCTTCCATTATTGCCTTGCATTATGTTAGATAAACATTTTGGTATGCAGTTTCAATTAATATGTTAATTTTTTTTACTGTGTATTTTTTACTTTTTGTGTTCCCCTGAGCATGATGAGTCATTTTTCTCTTGCTGCTTTAAAGATATTCTATTTATCTTTGTCTTTCACAGTTTGATTATGATGTGTATCGGTGTCAGTCTCTGTGGGTCTATCTTACTGGGTCTTTATTGAGCTTCTTAAATGTTGAGATTAATATTTTTCATCAAAATATAAATTTATAATCTCATGTTATTTCCCCATTTTACAATATAGTAAAGGCAAAGCAAATTTGAAATGAGGGACTAATGTAAGTAAGCCTTTATAATTTTTGCTGCCATGTCAAAACACTTTTTTGCATATTTTATTACATAGTGTTTTTGAAATGATGCAAATCATCTATTTTGCTTGCTTCCCTATAAATTTTAATGGAATTTTTTCAAATGCCTTGAAGTAGGTGGTTTTATAGATAATGCAGTTCAGGAGTATTAATCATGTATTAATATAATTTTCTGTAAAAAGAATTTTTAGTGGTCTAGAAGCTTAAAACTGTCTTTGACTGTTTACTGTTTTATTATTTTCCATATCCAAACAAGCCTACTTCATGTTTCTGTTAAAATATCTCTGGAATTTACCCTCACATTCTATTATACTTGCCTCTACATTCTAGTCAAAAGTCCACTTGTTTTCTTAGCTGGGGATCTCTTTCCATGTCATTGCTTTCTGCATTTGCCAGTTTAACCTTTCGAAAAGAGTCCTTACATCTTTTGAAAACCTTCAGGAGATGTCAGTTATCACTGTGAAGTCCAGGCTTCTCATTTATTGTCCCTGTCTCTACCAGGCCTTCTGTATTGCATTTATTTTCTGCTCTTCCCCCATTGCTCATCAGTGTCTTTGGCTCTTGTTGGGCCCCAAAGAGCCCACTGCGTGTGCTATATTTAGTTTTTCTTTTCCACACCTCACCTTGTGCTGGGAGGGCTGTATTCATTTTCCTTTTGGCATATTTAGATTCCCATCTTCAATCAATTTCTCAAAAGCTTCTCTAAGCCTCCACTCAGCTCTTCTTTCTCTGAGCTCCTGTTGCACGCTGCTGTGATGTGGTTCTCAATGGCAGAGGTCTTGTCTCATTCTCTTGGCACCTGGCCCCACAGTGTGTAGCAGATTAGTTGCTCTTCTTTCTCATTTCACTTCTATAATCGTTTTGTGAAGTTAGATCAGAAAGGGTTTTTTTGCTTTTTTATTTTTTCTTTGTGTGTGTATGTGTGTCTGTGTCTGTTTGTGTTAATTTACTTCTGAAACATGAAGTTCCTTTTTCTAATTCTCTCTTCCCCACATACCCCAAATCAGAAGCATTTTAGTTTTGTAAAATAGATAGGCTTAGCTAGGTGGAACACTGTGCCAGTGGAACCAATAGTGAAATTAACTCCCATGTATACAAGGTAAGTTCAAATAGAATAAAACTTCCATGCAGAGTCCCAGGCTGTATATGGAATCCTGCCTACCCATTTCAAATATGTATTTTTGTTTAGTATTATGGAAATTGAGTAATAAAGTATGAATGTCCTAGCACAATTTGTAAATATTATAAAATAACTAGAAATTAGTGTATTTTGTACTTGTATTGCTTTTATACAGGTAAAATAGTTATTAAAAATACTCTTACTAACAATATGTCTATAGCAAATACCGGCAAACTTTTTGTCTAAGTGGCCAGATAGTAAGTGTTTGGGGGCTTTGCAGGCTACCCATGGTCTCTGTCACATGTCCTTTGTTCTTGTTGTTGTTCTTGTTTATCATCCTTTAGAAATGTAAATCCAGTGTCAGGTTGCAGACAGTATGAAAGCAGGCCAGGGCTGGATTTAGCCTGTGAGCCATCCATCTCTGGTCTGTAGCAGTATGCAAATCTAATCTGTTTGATTGAGCATCCAAAAGGGCAAAAGACTTTCCTATCCAATAGAGAAGATGCTGCTAATACTAATCCAGTCCTGAACAAACCAGAATGTGCTCCAAGGGGTACAGTCAAGTGGGCGAGTGTGGGAAACTTTAAGAAGAGTGGCCCCCAGATTGGGGATAGGATTGGAGAAGGGCGAAAGGTGACATCATAGTGGTCTTCTACATTGTTTGTGTCTGTGGTGCACAGGAAGTAGGCTTATCCTACACAGTGCCTGCTGTGGAGTCTTAAATGGAATGTGCTGTCCTGAGACAGAGTCAATGCCCCCTCCCTTAAAATGCTGATTTTCCCTGGGAAGAACTAAGTTCCTTTTAAGAACATCCCATTCTTCACTCAAGTTTACTGATTTAATGTGCCAAAAGGATATAATTATCCTCATTATGGAACAAATCACAGCTGTAGGCATCAATGATGAGGGAATTATGGAGTAACTAGAAGTATTTAATTGGGATGAAGTTAAAGTAAATCTTTATAGCTGTATATACTTTGAGTGGATTTTTAAAAGGAGCTACGTAGCTGAATAATATCTAAAAATGTTGCCTAATAAACAACAAATGTTGCCTTCTGGTAAATTTCCAGAAGATATCCTAATTTCTCTAGAAATCTTCTGTTTAGGTTGTATGAACAAGTTGCACTTAATTGAATGCTGTAATTTATGTCTCCTATTTCCTACTTAGATGGACAGTAGAATCTCCCAAGTAGCAGAAATCAGGTACCTTGAAGTGACTATAATCATTCTTTTCTTACCCTAGCAACAACTTTGACTCATCAAGAAGCAGAAGCCTTAATAATAGACTTCTGGTCAGATTCACCACTTTGTGACATTCCTTTCTTCATTGCCAGCCAAGAAATTCTAGCAGACTAATTTAAAGACACGATTATTTGCATGCTAGCCCCAAATTCTGTGGTTTAGCATTCATATATATGGAAATAGTTGTAGATTCTGTAGATTTGTTATTAGTTGTAGATTCTGTAGATTTATTTGGTTGAACTATTTACAGTATTGATTCATTTCATTTAATGTATTTAATTAATTTCATCAGGATGTGATTTATCTTAATTTTGATTTTGGTTGTAGAGGTTGGCGATTTGAAGGAGCTGCAGACACTAGACATTTCTACCAATCGTTTGCTAACTTTACCCGAGAGGCTTCACCTGTGCCTTTCTCTGCAGTACCTCACTGTGGACCGAAATCGTCTATGGTGTGTGCCGCGCCATCTCTGCCAGCTGCCCAGCCTCAATGAGCTCTCCATGGCTGGAAACCGTCTTGCATTTTTGCCACTTGGTAAGTGATTGTGTTTATGTGGTAAGTAAAACATCCAAGGAATAAAGTGGAAAGACTTTGTTTCTTTGACTAGGACCAATTAGTTTCCTTTTTCTCTTTAGCTTGAAGATTACTTCTCTAAATCTGTTTGTGCAATGAACAAAGCAGATGTTCTTGGTTAATAACTGAAATTTAGGGATTTAAGGAAATTACTTTAAGTTCTGTACTTATAAAATTAATAAAATGAAATAAAACTACTTCAGAAGTAAGCTACATTTCTAAGAAATCAGAGCTTTTTTCAAGTGTGAAAAAGTATCAAATACAAGTTTGTTTGTTTGTTTGTTTTCTTTTTTTTTGTGATTTTGGCTAGGGCCAGGCTTGAACCCACCACCCCTGGTATATGGGACCAGGGCCATACTCCTTGAGCCACAGGTGCTGCCCACAAGTAGATTTTTTTAATGTACCAAATTCACTAACCCGCAGGTTATAGAATAATTACAGTGGATGAACACCAAGTTACAGATCCAGAGATTCAGCTTCTAGGCTGATGCTACTATTTTACAGTGTGTGACCTAGAATAAGTCACCAGAACCTTTCAGAGCTTTATTCTTCTTCTCTTTAAGCAAGAGGTAATAATAATATTTATCCTGCTTCTTTGAGACTTACTTTGAAGTAGAATACAATAGTTCATGTACAAGAATTCTAAATCCCTGTATAAATGTAGATGACTCTCAAATGGGAAGATACAACTTGTGGATTATCATATCCTACTTTAAAATGTTTTTACCTTGGGTGAGCCTGTGGCTCAGTGAGTAGGGTGCCGGTCCCATATACTGGAGTTGGCGGGTTCAAACCCAGCCCCGGCCAAAACATGCTAAAGAAAAAAAATTTTTTCTTCACCTTTCTCATATTCAAGACCCTCCTCCCCCACCATAATAACTATCCAAATTTGTATTTACTGCTTTCTAATGGAAATGGCAATGGAACCTCTGTCAGCTCTGATTCCCTGCCGAGTGATTGCCAGGATGATGTAATCAATGCTGGTGAAATTAAAGGCAGGCAAGGAGGGAGGGAAGGAAAAGATGTGATGATTTGTGTGGTAGAAAATGCAATGTACTGGCATAACATTAGCATTCATGGGAAAGCTACAAAGTCCATCATAAACAACCTTTGACTTTCAGATGTTGCCTGAAACAGATTAGTTTGTTGCGTCTGGGGTTGCCTATTCATAGTATTATCATTATTGTTATTATTATTGACCAAACAGGTAACAAAGAGTGTCTCCATGTGCAATAATGGTGTTATGTATCCTACTATAACTATTTGTAGAAATAATAGTTATCATTTATTGAACACCAGTCTTTAGCCAGGTTTTCTATTTAATCTCTGTACAGATACTCTTTATTAAAAACCTTATGACAAAATCTTTTATTACAAAACCCATTAACAACCTAATTTTACAAATGAGAAAATTGAAGCTCACAGAAGTTAAGTAACCTCCAGCTGGTGGGAGGCAGAATTGAGTTTCTGTCTGATTCTAAACTTCATATTCCACCTTGATGGACATGCTGTCCCCGTTTTTCAGGCATCATCTTTCCATTGAGGACTTCCATTTGGGAAGAGGGCTGAACTGTATTGAACATCTTCCTAGTTGCTGTGTGGCCATCTCCATTGTCAAATGTGCTCTGCCATATGGGGCTCATGTACTTCTGTGGACCCTCTAGTTAACCTCATTTAGTCTCTCTCTATTCATTTAGCAAGATCTGTCTGCGGGAGACTCATGCTTTCTCACCACCTGGTCTTTGCACCAGCCAGGTGCTCCCAATTGCTCATCTGGCCTGCCTTTAGTCGCTCATAAAGTAACAGAAACCTTGTAGAAGCCTAGACCAGAGACCTATTATCTAGGTTTGTCTTGGTGCTGACAGCTCTTCTTCAACTTCAGCCTGGCTCCTTGAACTTCACCAGAGCTCCTGGTTCCTAACAGCTTGTTTTTTCCTTCTCTTCTTGTCTTGTTTCTTTTATAACATACACTTTGTCTCAACTCTAAACCATTCATACAACTACTGGCTTCATCCAGCCTGCCACAGCCCTGTTCTCCTGTCTGATGATACCCAGATGTCCTCTTGTCAGAATGCCATCTAATTCTAGAACCCTAGCTCTGCTTTGAATCCCACATACAATTGGACTTTTTAAATCGAATGTCTTTTGTTTAATGCTTTCACTTTCCATGCCCTTTACCTTGCCTTTTCTCCCTACCTCACTGCAGCCCTGGTCCCTCACTCTTCTGGTCATTTGCTGCTCATTCCTACCTTTGTTCTACCTGTGACACAGCTGAGCATTGGTTAAGGTGGCAGTGATGCTGGGAGAATAAAGGGAAGCCATTCCTGTAGGAACCTGAGCACTGTTAATTTGGGGATACAGGGCAATGACACTGTGTCATGCTGAAGGCTTGCAGTCACAGAGGTCCTGACTTGCAATGGCTGATGCAAGGTGATAGAAATGGTTGTTGGGTGGAGAATTGAGTGCTGCACCATGTTGGCTGTCTGGCTGGCCACCCTGGCACCCTCACCTATTACTAGGGTGTTTTCTGTGTGCACCATGCTGACCACTAGTGTGGCTAAGGGAGATGGGCCTCACTTCTTCAGTACTCAAGATTCAGTGATGAGAATAATTAGAGAAGTAGACTCACAAGCTCACATCCCTGGCAGGACACAGGCCTGTGAAGAGGTTTTAATTTACTATGGAAAATCATACAAGCGAGAGGATGATAGCAAAGATTATCCAGTAAAAAATGAAGCAAGCTACCTGAAGCAATCCTCTACCCTGATCTAAATCTGGATTCTTTGGGAACAGCAAGAAGAATGGGTCAGAAAAGCACTGGTGGCCTTTCTACATTTGGTGTATTATACGTCCTTTGTAAAGAAATGGATGAGACAACTAGAGCTGCAGTGTGAGGTCACCAGGGAAGGCTGTGGGAGACTGGAAAAGGATGATCCATAAAGATGAAGAAAATGAAGCTGACCAAAGTATCACGTCTGCCTTGTCTTTATCTTTCTTGGGAATTTTTTTTCCTACCATGAAGACATGTTTGCAAAGGAATTTTAGTTCTCTTTAGTAAGAAAATAATTAAGTTTGTGCGCTTGAAACCTTTCTGTGAATTCTTTTCTGATAAACCAAAGCCAACTACTGCTAAGGACTCTCTTGAAGAGAGTCAAACAAAGCATGCAGCTGCTGGCACAGCCTTTCCTTAGAGAAATGAAATGTTCTTAGAAACTTAGCAAGTTGGTGTATCTCTTTACAATACTTTGGAGATGATCTGCATACATATACACACGTGCACACATATACACACAAAAGGTTTTCAAATATCAGAAGACTTCTGTGTTTAGTATAAGGATGATACAGAAACATAGAAGTTTTATGAAAAGAATGCTGTGGTATCTCTGCCTATGATGGCAAGTGAGAATCTTAGTTTGGGGAGCCTCTTACTGAATTCAGGGTTTTGACAAAGAAGTTGGATTTAGGAGAAAACCAGTTTTTATGAGGCCTCTTTTTTTTTGAGACAGTCTCACTTTGTCGCCCCTTGGTAGATTGCTGTAGCATCACAGCTCACAGCAACCTCAAACTCTTGGGTTCAAGTGATTCTCTTGCCTCACCCTCCTGAGTAGCTGGGACTACAGGTGCTGGCCACAACACCAGGCTATTTTTAGACACAGAGTCTGTCTCTTGCTCAGGCTGATAGCTCGAGCAGTCCACCTACTTGGACCTCCCAGAGTGCTAGGATTACAGGCCTGAGCCATTGCGCCCAGCCCTTATGAGGCTTCTTAAAGGAATGTCAGGTAGTCTCTTCAAAAGGTAACTACAGAAACTATATGTAAGGATGACTTAAATCACTTGCAATACTGTCTAACCCATTAACATTCTATGAGTAGAACAGTAGGTCTTCTTAAGTCACTTGTAATACTGTTGAAAATCGTTAAGACTCTTTAATGATTTAAGTGTGCTAAAGTTCTTCTTAAGATGAAAAGATGCATCAAAAAGAAGGATCTTCCTATTATTACACCATGGCAATTGAGTGACATGTCGATCAGTCTGCAGATGAAAGCTTTGCTCACAGTGGTGACTACCAGCACAGAAGAGTGGAAAGCAGTCACTTGAGCCTGGTGCTGTGAAATTTAGTGGAAGCCTCGAAACTTGAATATTTGTTATTGATTCAGTATAGCTCAAATAACTCAGAATTATGGCTGACCTCTTGGCTTCTGAAAGTGTAGGGAAATACAAAGAAAAGAATTTTTTCACCAAGGCTTTATACCTTTCCCTTGCATAATTAATTTGCCCAATTATTCCAACATGCTTACAATGTATTTAATGTTGAATAATAGATATAAGGATAGTAAGGTTGCCCATGTACAAATTGGCTATGGAAAAGCATGCTTTAATTAGCTCCTGGGAAGTGCTGTGTCAGCCAAACTCAATACCAATAACTTCTGTTGTTTAAGAAAACAAAAATTGCACTCATGTTAGCAGGTAGAATTTTAATAAATGTTAATTTAGAAAACAATGAATTCTAAACCAAGAACATTTGCGCATGACACTGAGATTTATAGAATAGCCTATGCATCAATTACCATGTAGTAAGTCCAGAAGTTAAAGGAGACTGTGTTCCTGCTAATGAGAAATTATGAGAGTTTGTCTACCAGTTCCAGAGCTGTTCCTTGGAGATTTTAGTAGTAAAGTATTTATTTTCTCAACAGTTATTCTGTGTCTCTAGGACTTGTGCTACATAATGTTGAAAAATATTAAATATAAATAGATTTTTGAAAAATCACTATACCTTCTACACTAGCCCACAAGTTACAGAACAAGTATAAGTGGACAAGTACCAGGTTACAAATTCAGAGACTCTAGTTCTAGCCTGGTTCCCCCACTGGTACAGATCATACACTGTGGGGTTAGAGTATTTAAATGGCTATTCATGTTTTGAAGATTATAAATCTGGCCCTTTTTCACATAACAGGAGT